GATCGAAACCATTTTTCCCAACGATTAGCAACAGACGTTGGCTCTCCCTCGCATTCAAAGGTTGTATTGCTAGCAGATCACCAGATTATGGGTCAATATGCCCTATGGAACAACCCCACTGTTTCAATTTGTATATTGTAACGACGCACAAACAGGCCAATTCCCGATAAGTTCGAATTAGTTCAACATCATTGCCAATTTTTTAAAATTAAATTTAATTAATTTATTATTATTATTCTTACTATTTTTATTATTATGGTATCTAAAGTTTACCTGACATACGTAGTTTTAATTTTGTTAAGTTTTGTTCTAATATCTAATATGTTCTAATAGATAAGGGGTTTTTTTACATTTTAGAAAACTTGTGTTTCAAGCATCTTAATTCAACACTGTAAAGTGATTCCTCGTGATCACACGGGTTAATATTGCCTGATTGTCCAAGCATCTGTTATCATTTATACATTGCAAAATAAAAGGTTTTTAATGTACACATTTGTATGTATCTTTGTGAGTCATGGATATGTTTATTGGATATACGTTAAAACAGAAGCACAGAAGAAGGGTGCGGTATAAAGAAGTAACAGCCAGAAAATGCTGAACACCTGGTCTGATGGTTTTTTAAATCTATCACCAGTTAATTGTCTAAGAGTAGGTGGTATATAATTTAGCTATTACAAATGAAAACGAACGTTCGAAGGAAACAGATGCATGTTTAGGTGATATTTTATCTTAATTGACACAGGAGGCCTAGATTCAACTACACCTTTGCAAATTTAAATACCTTACCTCTGCTCCTCTTTCTAATAATTTCCACATTAAAGATATTAAGCGTTAATTTTTTTCAAAGAAACTTCCACAGACTACTGTTTTACAAATTTTCCGGATTCCTCCTGCGTCGGTTTTTGAAGAGTCAGACTTGCTGACGTTTCGCCAATCATCTTGTTGGTTTCTTCAGAGCTTGACTGAAACTGTCACAGTCAACAGCAAAAACCGACACAGGAGGAATCCAGAAGTTTTGTAAAAAGTATATTAAGCGTTCCACCACAAAATACACTTCACCACAATCTTCCAATATCAATAAGCCTGAAAGCAATCCCACACTTGATACTGTTGTCCTTCCTTACTTTCAATACATCACTGACCACATATCGAAAGTTTTACAGAATCATTACTTAAACCACATTTAGCACTTCAAGTACCAAATCAAGAAACATTAAAAACGGTCTCCCTCAAGGCTCAGTACTGGCTCCACTACTTTTTAATGTTTACATAAGTGACACCCCAAATACTACGTCACGTAAGTTTTGTTACGCAGACGACATGGCTATAGCCACTCAAAATAAACACCTTGAAGAAGGAAAAACAACCATAACAGCCGACGTAGAAACTTTAAACCAATACTTCCAAAAATGGAGACTGCGCCCGAACCCAAATAAAACAGAGACATGTGCCTTCCACTTAAATAACAGGATGGCGCACAGAGAACTAAATGTCACGTTTTGTGGAGAACCAGTCAAACACAACAAACACCGCAAATATCTAGGCGTAGTCCTCGATAGGTCTCTCACCTTTAAAAAGCACCTTGAATTGACATGCCAGAAACTTAAAACCCGAAACAACATCATACGTAAATTGGCAGGCACCACATGGGGAGCAAATGCAGCTACCTTACGCACTGCAACACAATCACTTGTGTACTCTGTAGCGGAGTATTGCGCTCCTGTATGGGACAGAAGCTCTCATGTAAATAAGATTGACGCCCAACTTAATGAAGCCATGAGAGTAGTAACAGGGACATTGAAGTCGACTCCTTTACCATGGCTCCACGTACTATCAAATATCGCTCCCCCAGGAATCCGAAGACAACAGGCTACATTCCAAGAATGGCAAAAGATAAATCACCCAGACCAGCCAAGAACGTGGCCTATTCACAAGGTAATCGATGAACCCTGTGTGAATCGACTGAAATCAAGGGCCCCAATATGGAACTTGGAAGCACTTGCTCCAGGAAAAACCTACGACGCTTCTGAATCATGGACATCCGTATGGAATAACAGCAATGTCAATCAACACAACATAGAAGATCCTAATAAACAGCTCCCAGGGATGCAACTACCTCGTAAAACATGGTCCCTATTAAATAGAGTTAGAACTGGACATGCAAAAACGAGATCAGCGATGCACAAATGGGGAATTGCCGACAATCCAGCATGTGACTGTGGAGCTGAAGAGCAAACGTTAACACATATAGTCCAAGACTGCCCGCTGAGAAGATTTACTGGACAATGGAAAGACTTTACTGATGCAAGCCCCGCTGCCATTGCATGGTTATCTGAACTGGATTTGGACCTGTAGATTTGATTTTCCCATACCGCTAGGTTGCTCGCATGCACCTGTTATATTAACTGTCTGTGTCATATTTAATGTGTATTACTGTGTTTTACATTACTTGTATTAATTGTCATTTATACCTACCTTTCATAAGAATTTTGTTTGTAACCTATTATATAGCACTTGTAGAGCCATACGATAAATAAATAATAAGCACTTGTTCAAAAATCTCTCAACATCTTCGATCCGTCAAAGACAAACTTCCATTTGAGATGCCAGGAGTTTACAGCATTCCATGCATATGCGGCAAAGAATATATTGGCGAGACCGGCTCACATACCAGGATGATTGGCGAAACGTCAGCAAGTTCGACTCAGCAAAATACGACACAGGAGGAATCCAGAAGTTTTGTAAATAGTAACATTTGCTATCTATACTATCTTTGTGACAACATGATATTAACGCTGCTTGAGGTTTGCTTACAACATACCCTTTAGACGTCACATAAAACCACATCTAAATTCTGATCAGCCTAATTCTTGATTATCATAACACCAGATATATAACTGATTTTAGATTGCCGCATCACAAAACTGCAAATTTTCAAAAGTCTTTCTATGTTGCTGCTAGTAATTGGAATGCCATACCTAGTCATATTAAATTGCAAAAAAATAGAACTTTAGTAAGAAACATTAAAAAACATCTTTTACTGTAACAAAATATTATGCCGTAAAATAATTGCAGCTTTTCTTTCCTTTTTTTCTCATGTATACTATTCTGTTATGCTTTTCTGTAGCTCCAGCTGTCGCTATCGAGGCTCTGTCTCCATTTCCTTTCTTTCTGCCTGCGCGCGCGTCTTCTCCCTCTAATGAACGACATCTTATTTAGTTCTATCTTCAGTATGTAAAAATAGTTATCTTATACTTATAATATATAATTTTTCATTTAATACGTGTCTGCACATCACAGGTATGTTCAGCTCCTGTGTAATCGTTTTTTTTTTATAATCGCTGGATAGTCACTTTTACTGAGCAAGTGTAATGCAGAATTACTATTGTTTCTGTATATTCTGACAAATAAATTCGTTTTGTTTTGATTTAATTTAATATAAAAGGTGAAACTTCAAGTTCGGGAAGAAACATTATTACGACAAATGGCAGATTTCAGTTGGCGCCAAAAATGTTCAATGGGATTAAATATACAGTGCAAAGATTTTTTGCATAATTATCACAGACGTATTCTTTTTGTAGGTTCAAGCTTTGTAGAACCTCAATTAATTGCTCTTGGTATAATCTTCGTGAAAATAAATGTCGTTATTATACATGTAATTTTGGATTGTTTGGATTTAGTCAACTGTCTACTGTGATAACTTGCATTGTCTATTACAATGACGCTATTAGGAGGAATGTTTGGAACTAGTTTGTTTTTAAACCAACTTTCAAATAAATCAGCGGTGGTGCCTTCATGGTAATTCAGAGAAAAATCTTTAATATCTTTCGCAGACAGAGAAAGTCCATTTGGAATCCAACCATCCTTAGAGCCAGCATGCAAAATACTTATTCTTTTACCTCTTTTTGATGGCGCGTTTGTTTTACACTTATCAATTGAGTCAACCCAACCCTTTTCCGGGGTATCATAAGTGTCGAACCAGGTTTCATCCATGTAAATATTTGCCCTGTGTTGTTCTCTGTAAATCGTAATTTTTTCTAGATATTCCAGTCGCCATTTCCGAGTTCTAAAAGATTCCGCTTAAACTTGCCTTTTGTCAATTTTTTTTAAATCTAAAACCCATGTGTTGAATACACCTCCATAAGGTAGTTCTGCCACATTTACCACCGGTTTCATCTTTTTCAAGCCTCTTTATTAAGATATCTGTATCTGTATGTAAGCATGCTTTGTTCCTCGTATAACTGGTAAATTTTAGGCCGTATTATATCTTGATCACTTTGATCTACACTCGAGAAAATGTGAGCATCGCTTCTTTTTTTCCTCGCTAAAATGGGATTATTCACAATTTTCGATACAGTTGATGTTGGAATTTTCGTCAATGTGGCGGTTTCTTCAAAAGATGCTTGCTTGCTGGCACCGCGTTCAATGAGAGTCAAATTAACATTGTTTATAACTTCCTTAGTCTCAATAGAATATTGTTTTCAACATTTCGGCGGGAGCATCTCCTGAGATACACTTGACTCGCACATATTTTGCATAATTCGCACACGATTCAACACACACTGTATTACACACGAAATAAGAATAATTACTAATAAACTTAAACTATACCAAACCAAAGAATATTAAACACAGGTAGGTATAAAATTATTTTCTATTACGGACCTCAATTTTAGCTGAATTTAAATTCAGAAACCATAGGTAATAATCTTGTTGCATTGTATGTTAATGACCACCATTGCCATTGCCATTCAAAAGCGATTGGTCACTTTCTGATATCTATGAACAGACCATACTTGCAAATTAAGATCTACCATGTGGCACCCCCAACTGGGCTCTCGTTTTTTTCCGATCGACCTACAAAACGACCAACAATCAAAACGTTATTTTAGCTGGGCGCAACACTCGTAGCCTTGCGTTGAATTTGCTCTTGCCGACCTCTGACTCCTTTTTGGCGGGGAAACACCCACCACACACACTCAGCATATCGCGAACTGTTCCGCACTCGCACCGGAGCGCGGCAGAAGCTGTTCGCAGTTGGTACCGCTTATTGTACTCGTTTACCAGGGGGTACCGGGCTACATTTTGCGCGCGTAATCGAGTCGAAAAGTGCGTGACGTTTATTGTTGATGCTTGCCGGAATCCGTGAGGCGAACGATGTGGAACTGGTACTGTCTGTTCATTTTGGTTAGTAGTTTTCAGTTTCGTTCTGGTACTATTTAATAAACAAAACGAGAGTAAACGATTTCCTGCACGTACGTTATACGAGGTTTTAATATAAGTTTTGTATATTTTAAAAATATTTTCAATAATGCAGGTTGTATTATGAAAACAGGGAAATTGATAATGTATTTTTTTAATGATCGATAGGTATAGCGAAACCTTAATAAAAGTGGTAGTGATAGAAAAGTTAGATACAAGGTGTTTAATTTAAAAAATCAGAAAAACATTGGCTTGAAGAAATTAGTAATAGTATTTTTCTAATCTATCTAATAGTATAATAATAATAATAATAATAATAATAATAATAATAATAATAATAATAATAATAATAATAATAATAACAATAATAATAATAATAATAATAATAATAATAATAATAATAATAATAATAATAATAATAATCTCCTTAATTGAGGCTACAGGGTTAGCTTCAACTCCGCTGTTTTCAAATTTTAATTTAAATATATGTTAGTTATCGTTCTTGTTCGGGTACTTTTTATTAAACAAAATGGGAGGAAATAAATGCTTGCATGTACATAAACATACAAGGGGACACGGTGTGACAAAAAACTACGTCCTTTACTTATTTATTCTTTAAAAATAATAGAGGTTGCATAAAATCCTAAGATGGACATTTTAAAAATATTTTAAATAATACGGGCCGTACCCCTTTTGTTTTATTTAAAAATCAAGCAAAAATTAGTTTGAAAAAATTAGTAATAATATCTAAGATTTATTATTTATTTATTATTAACAGAATTCGTAACTTTAAAGTATTATTAATTTTTGGTTCTACCGAAATTGTAAAAATTTCTTGATGGCTAAAATTTGTAATGGTTTTAAGTTATAATGTAGCCAATACTATCTTGGGAAGTACTCGAGAGGTTGTTCTTATGGAATGAAAACTGGTATTTCATTCATGAAATCATGCCAATAGAAAATATGTTTTTTTTTAAAGGTACCGCTTTTATTTTAATTTAATGGCGATAAGTCTATGTATTTTTGTCCAATCGAAGGGTATAAGCAAACCTTAATAACAGGCGCAATAGTTGAACGTGATAAAATAGTTGGATACAAACTGTTTCATTTAAAACATAACAGAAAAATTAGTTTGACGAAATTAGTAACATCTAAGAATTATTATTTATTTATTAGGAACAAAATTCGTAACTTTCCATATATTTTCGTTTCTTTCTCCAGTATTTTTTATTCTTGGTTATACCAAAATTGTAAAAATTTCTTGATGGCTAGAATTTGGAATAATTTTAAGTTATACTGAAGCTATTAGTATGCTGAATGTATTCTGTATTTGTATTGTTTTTTCTTCTTTCGCGACAATATACGCTCCATGCTATATAGTTATATAGCTATAGTTGTAGAACCAACATCTGGTTCAACTACGTTATTAATTTTTGCAAATATGTACTTTTAAAAATACTACACAAGATTTGCTTAACCAATTTGTATCTAGGGCAGTTTATATTGGCCTTTTTTTCAACCTGAATTAGCAATTATCCATATTGCAAAAAAAGGTCTATTTCTGAAATTAAAAATTTGTCATTTGTGATAACAAACGTAGCTGTGGGAAGTAAAGTTACATAAAATATGTCTGAAATTTCAACTTGAATGAACGAACCCAACCAAACAGAATATACAAATTATCTCAAAAGTGTTAAAAATGTCAAACTTGTATTTTTTAAAATACGCTTTCAAAATAATTTTGCTTTTGTTAGTAAAATTGACAGTAGCGTGTAACAATAAACCATAATCTTAAGATGAATAAGAACTTCCCATCTTAGGCATTATTTAATGCAACACCATATTTTTAATTAACCAGGGAATCCAATTTTCAATTTCCTGTCGAATGAGGTTAGAGTGTCCTATAATTAACTCTTCTCGTATGGTGTTTTCTATATCAAAATTTTCCTGATTCTCGTTGCTTATGGAATTTGGAATGTGATATAATTTATTAAGGCTGCAGGTTATATCCCACTTTGAGGGGTATAGTTCCGGGTTTTAAAATTTGCCACCCAGATCCCCGGGTGGAGACACATAAAAGAAATTACTTACCTCTACCAGCCACACCAGACAAGATGAAAATTCACAAATATTGTGCAGTTAACAATAGCTTCAAGAGAGCCTGGAACGAGACGGCTGATATTTCAAAAATTTATTGTAAATTTTTATTTTCCTTCTTTTTCGTATTACTTTCAGTTAGTTTTCATTGGTTAGTTGACGTCATACAATAAATTGATTTTCATGTTTCATAAATTTATTGTTAATTGTAATTGCCATAATCTGTATAATTGTTTATAGTTAATTATTGTATAGAATTTGTTTTATTAAGAGTGATCAACGCGTCATACAACCAGACACCAAACCCCAGACCAATTTGTCAACTGGATGCAACAAGACATATATGTACCTATATATTACGAAGAACTATAGATTTGCGAAAATACCTTAAAGCATAGTACATTTAATTAATAATATAATTTAGATATAAAATATGGTCAATGGTTACACATTACTGATAGAGTTTCGCATTCATACTTTCAATAATTCCTATTATTCAGGTGACTCCATTTAAAAAAATACCATTTTGATACTTTCTATGCGACCTGTATAGAATAAAAGCAATTTTAAAAAGTGACAAAATACATCGCAAAGGTAAAGCTTTCTGAAAGCTTTGTACTTCTTGGATAACCTCGTATATCAAAATAAAAGACAACTACTGCAGGAAAATGTGTTAAAATGTGTTCCCACTAATTTTTTATTCCTTTTTCGAACGCTATGGCAGATACGGAAAAAGGAGTGTCTTTCTTTTCCACAGTCGACGACTTTCTCCGCGATGAGACAGCGGAAAAAATACATTTATAACAACGTTTGTCGCAATAGTTTTATACGTAAAGCCAGGACATTAGAGAAAAAAAAAACGCAGCCGATTTTGCTATATCGAGGATCAAACCAAAGTTAATCTTTAGATCGCGCAATTACTTTTCTATCTCGTTTAAGATCTCGTTATTAACAGGATTTCACCCTGAAGCTAATCGTTTCGTTTAATCTTGTACGTGTTTTTTTTTAATTATTTGTTATAGACGCCCATAAATATATACGCACTGTGCTGTGGGCAAAGTATTCTTTGAAATTCTCCCATTTTATATTCATATACCGAGTTTGAAGCAATCGATCCAGTCGAATCAATTACAAAAAAATAAATTAAAAAAAAAATGCGGAATGCATTAATCTGCTATCAATAGCGTACACCGTGCTTTGATAGATAAAGTGATTCCCGTATTTTAATATTATGAATTTTGCAGCGCAACTTTTAAAAATATTTTAAAATATACAGGGCTTGTAGCCGTAGTCAATTTCAGTTTTCTAATTTTAATTTGAATACCTTGTGTATTAATGTATTCTTGGATTCTAAATAAAATTCTGAACAATTTCTATTGAAGGTGCCCACCCCATGCTTAAAACGAATAATTGTTATTTTCCTCCGCTTGTTATGAAATAAAATGAAATAGAAATTTGCTGGTGATTTTTTTCAATAACAATATATTATTTGTTTTGTTATTTTTGAAAATTCTTTTTGGTATATTTTGAATTTCAGAAAAAAAATATTTTCTCGAAAACTATTAACCCAATCGGCAAAATTTCTGAACCCGGAAATGCGAGAGATCTGGGACCCTAACTTTTATTTCAGGCATTTTTTCCATTATTTACAGAGTTTTTCAATTATAGACAAAAACCTAATAGATTCGTGAAAAATATGGCCAATTGGTTTAAACAGTGTTATAGGCCACATCGAAAGCTACAATTTTTGTATTTACGGTTTTCGTCTATCACTTATGCTGTTCGAGACATTTGAAAAAATCCAAATGAAAATCACCATTTCTCTTTACTATTACCATGTACTGCATGGTTTCAGAACACAAGCATTTTCTTGAAAACCACTTACTCTATTGGAAAAAATCATATACCAGGAAACGTGGGAGATCCAGGGCTATATATAACCTGTATTTCGAATATTGTTTGAAATATATAGAGGGTGTGTCGTTTATGGGCAAAAATTTCTAAAACATCCTAAAAATTTCCGTTTTTGTGGGTAATTTTATTGAGGATAAATGAAAAAAAAATGAGCGCAAGATATTTCAAAAAATATCATTCGACAACGCAATTATTTGTAAAAAAAATAATATTTGCCAAAGTTACCGTAACTTTGAAGTTCAGCGAGACGTAAACGACGGTTTATACAGGGTGTATGCACAATAAAATAACATCGATTTTGAGAAGGTTCTATAGTGGTCCGCAGGAACACGATAAAAAACAATGCGTCCCTCTAAGACAATATTTCTTTTCAAAGTACAAAGCTGCTTCGCGTTACGCGCTACGAAGTTGCCCCGCCTAGCTACGATTTTTCAAAAGCACTCTTTTTAAACTCGGATCTTCTTGCGATTGCACTAGGAGCATAATTCTACTATTTATTGAAAACAAAAAAATCACTCAAAGTTGTAATGAAAGAATTCCTTGTATACATGATTATTAAAATAGCACTACGAAAGAAGTATAAAGAAACTAGTCATAAAAAAAGACAGAAAAAATTTATTCAAAGAAACGACAAAAAATAACGGTACCCCGTAGGATACGGACCAAAAATTATATTTTTTCTGTAAATGTTATTTTTTAAGGAAGAAGGAAATGATTTCTAGTTAATGGCCTTGAAAAATTCTGATACAGAATGTATTGATACATAACAATATCTTAAGGCAGGATTTCTGCGGTCATTGATGAATCAAACTTGCCTTGGCTTCTTCAGAGGTTAACTGAAACTAGTTACAGTTTCGGTTTTAACTAGTTTCGGTGAAGGTGTAAAGACGCCAAAATGATGATTGGCGAAACATCAGCAATTTCGATTAAACAACAACCGACGCAGAGGGAATCCAGAAGTTTTGTGAATTGTG